TTTGAATTATATTTATTGTAATAAATAATTAAAAATGAAAATCAAATGCAAGGCATAACTTTGGCTGACCCTGTTATATTTGTTTGTTCTTCCAAAGTTGAATGTTTTTTTTGCTCAGCCCACCCGCCCCCACCCCTGCCACTTTCTTCTCATGATATGATGTTTAGCTACTGACTTTAAGTCTGCATCAGATAACTTTCTCAAAGTCACCCCAAACTGTTTCATATTCCTCATACACACTTCTCTGGCTCCCAGGAAACTTTCTAGAGGCCACTGTCCTACCTGGAATGTCTGTGTCTTACTGCCTTATGTATGTCCCTCCGACTCCTTCCAAGTGCTCTACTTACGGAAGCTCTTCCCTGAAGGAGTTCTCAACCAAGCCCATCTGGTTTCAGACATTTTGATCACTGTTTTGATTGTGACTTGTATCCTTGTACATGTCAACTTTCCTCAAATAGTTTTCAAATACGGTTTTGAGTTCCTTTTGTGTTGCCACACATTTTTACTTGGGTACCGCTGATTAGTATAGTATATTCTTCACAGTTAGTGCTCTGTAAATGTTACTGCTGGACAACTGGAAGCTTAGACTATCAATTTGAAACAGAGTGCCATCTACTGGTATAAATGCTACAGTATTATCAACATGATTGCATTCTGCTTAATGAACATACGTATTAAATACATGTACACACACACACATAAGCTCTCACAATTTGATTAAAGAATAAGGAATATACTATATTAAATCCATAATTTTCCCCCACCTTGAGTGAGATCTATGTTTTCAAAAAGGAAATGACAATGAAATAAGGAAAGATCACCATCTGGATCCTCTAAATGAAACCATCATCTCCAAAAAACGGGTGCAAATTCTAAGCTATGCCCCCTGGTTGTTTTGTAGTCTTTCTTTTCTATTTATTGAAAAAAATCATATATAAAATATGGAACTAAAACAATATATTAAAACAAAATGCCTGACTGCCATTAAGTTCCTATAGAAATGGCACTGTTTTATGAGGAAGACTAGTTTTTGTTTGTTTGTTTCTTTCCAATAACAGTCCTTCCGTCAGGAGAGCCTTATCTATAGCTCTGACGATATCTTTAAGTCATGAACCTCTGAGTGAGCATGATTTCTCAGCACAAAGTGGAGGGATGTATAAGAGCAATGTGAATAATATTTAGTCCCTGTTTATCAGGCTAACATTTTAGCCTATTAAATAATTTCTCAAACCCTTTAATAACTCTAATCTTTCTATTCACGGTAAAGCAAATCACATTGTGGGTACATTTAAATTGCACAGAAGTGGGTCTATAAATTAAGAGAAAACTTTCCTTTCCTCTCCCAGAGGCTGATGTAGATAACATGGGATCGTTAGTGACCAGGCAGATGCCCTCATCTATAACCCGGAGACAGCTCTCAGCTGTACAGAGAACCTTCTCATTTCCTACAGAGAGGTGAACTCAAAACTTGTCACTGATTTTTGCACCCTCTTAATCTTCCTGTTTATTCTGTGCTTCATTAAAGTCAATCTCCACAGGGCAGACTGTCATCCAAGCTTGGCCTGTCCTGCTGTCTGCTCTCTCCAGAGAGCATCTTTCATCCTGATAAACGGGCTGTGAGCTGAGCACGTGACTGAGCTCCTTAAGGTAAATAGATTACAGAGAGCTGCTCCTTCCACACGCACTCAACAGAATTTGATAAGCAGAATCATTTGATGTGGACATCGTGGTGGAGACAATGCTTTTCCCAAAGATGGGGTTTCAGATTTACTTTTGCAAAGTGAGATAGAGGATATTTATTTTTGTCATTATGTTATACTATACCTCTAAGGCTGTTTTAGCTAGTGTCACTCCTCTGCCCAGTGTCTCCCTCAGGATTCAGCATCATTTATAGGATGTTTTCTGCATGCGAGGCCCTGTACTAGGCACTAGAGCCATGAAGATACACGTAGGGAGGGCAGATAGGGGCCACGGTAGGAAACACAGGGAAGCTCTGCAGGAAGCCGTAAAGCACGCCACCATTACAACAGCAGCCCGTGCGCTGAGTTTAGGGTTTGCCTGTTTGCAGACCATGGCATCCCAGAGCAGTTGTTATATCTGGATCATGCAACACTAGGGCCCAAGATTGGTTTCTAGGCAGCTCTGTTCCTGTCCTGTGTCCCATTGACAGATAAGGCAGCAAGCCTGCCCCCTGGGGGGTGTATGGCTTTCCTACCTAGTAAACCTGACATGGACCAGAGTCTGGAGAAGGAAGGCCTCATTTCTCATGAATGCGGGGAGGAGAGGCATCTTGGATACCTGAGCTGAGGACAGTTGAGTTCCTGTGACCACCAGCTGAGCATTGGAATCACTCCCCAATACTTGGGTGCTGACAACTGTGGATAAGACACCCCAGGGGTTGTGGCAAGAGGAAAGGTAGGGGCAGCCCCATAAGATGTCGGAAGCTTCCATCCTGGATGACCAGGGCAAGGGCTATGTGGGAGTGTTACAATGAAGCTCCTTCCTGCTTTAGCTGAGAAGGAAGATGAAATCAAGGAAGAGACTCCCAGCCACCCTAACTCAGTTTCCCAAGGTCTGAGTTGCAAAAATCCAAGAAGGGTCCTGATGGTTGGCCCCTCTCGACAATTGCAACCTCTGCCTGGGATCCTTGAATATCAACAAGAGGACAGGATATCAAGGAGATGGTGTCCTGTTCTTCCAGAGGTGGCTCTGGGCTCCTGACTTGCCTCTAGTGTACTCAGTGGTGTAGCAGCAGTAAAGAGCTCCACTGGGGCCGGGCGAGTGGAGGGTTGGTGAAGAGCTGGCTTAGGACGCCAGCTCTGAGCAGCAGGGCCCCGGTTCAGATCCCACATGAGGGCCAGTGACACTGCCCTCTACAGCTAAGATAGTGAACAACAGTTCGACCTGGAGCTGGACTGCTGTGAGTCGCCGGTGATGGCGTAGGCTGCGGCCCCTGCTGCAGTGGGCTGCCATAAGCTACCGTGTATGGCCAGCAGCCAGCTTGAGCGGCAGGCAGCTGGTGTGAGCTGCCAAGAGCTGCCGGGAGTGGCCATCCAGAGGCCGGCGACCGATCTGCCTCACCTGGGAAGAGCGCAATGATAATACCAACATGGGCCAGTGAAGCGATGTCCTCCACAACTAGACTGAAGAACAAAAGGACAGCAACTTGTCTGTTCCCCTTCCCCTGTTTCCCCAGCACTGTTCCCCTCCCCCAATTACCCAATAAAATCTTTAAAAAAAAAAAAAAGAGCTCCACTGGCAGGTCAAGGGCGAGGGGTGCGACATCTGTGGGGCTGCCGACCCGTGCAAACCCAGCCATCCTCAGAGCTTGGCTCAGCTGACTGCTTTCCTGTTAGCCCTGTAGGCCCTTGCCAGACCACATGCGTCTCTCCCTCCTCGGAGCTCCCCTTACAATGTGCTATTTAGCATTTGATTATATTAGGTCTCACTAGCTACTTGTTCCTTGTATGTTGTGTTACCACAAGAAGATTACATTTGTGTCTTTCACGTCTTTGAAATGAGAGACACACACAGTATTACATGTGCAGCAGGTGTCCAATACTAATCTAAATTAGGAATCTGAAAATAAGAGCTTATAGAAACTTTCCTCCTTTCACAGAATAGGAAGCAGATTCATAGAATTTCTGCTTTATTCATCCAACAAGTGTCTAATGAAACTTTCAAGTCACTTGGCTGGGTTCTGTGGGAGACAGAGACATCCAGAGATGGCTCAGCTCTCACGGACCTTTCAGTGAGGCATGCAAAACAGGGTGTGTGCCCCAATCACCAAAGGTGGGAACCCATAACCAAGATAAAATTAAGTCTGAGGGATCTCAGGTGAGGGAGATAGAAGGTCAGCTGAGGGACTCAGGGAGGTTTTATGGAGAAGGTGGCACCTCAACCTGATCTTGAAGGATTTGCTTTGTGGGGATGGGGGAACAGGATTCAAGTGTGAATGTATTTAGGACTTTACCAAGCTTTATGTTCAACTCAAAACTAGACCACAGGGGGTCAGCTGGCTACCACCCACCCACAGGGAACCTCCCTGGGGTTTGCTGAAGGAAGACCTTCCATCCACCAGAATCAGAGCTCCTCGATGTGGCTGTCTTCAGTTCCCCCCACACAGAGAGGGCTGTGTCTCTCCTGTTTCTCAGTCTCCCTTACCACCGCCCCCATACCCTCCCCTCTCCCCCAGTGCAGGGAAGGTTGCAATTCCACTTGCCTTTGGCAGCAGGCTGGCTGAGATGAGGCCCTGACCCTATCCTGTCAGTCCCAGCCCCAGCACGCTAAACCAGGGCACACCTGTGGGCCCAGCTCCTCACTGCCCACACGTGGGGTGCATTACCTCTTGTCCCAGGCCCAGCCCTGGTTACCGCAGGGCTCACATAGCACCCTGTAGATGGAACAGCGTCCTCGCTCCGCTCTGCCTGCGCTCTGCCTCCAAGTGTGTACTTTCCCTGGAGAGCAGCCAGGCTGACTCAGATCGCAGAGGAGCATCGAGCCCTCTCCCCTCAGACCCTCACCTTCCCCTCACTCCTCCTTCAGGGTGGCTCTCCACAGCCTTCCTCTCTGCACAGAGGGTCCTTTGCCCAAACCAGAACGCTCCTGGTCACTCTCCCTGACTGACTGGAACTCGGTTTGGCCCTACCCCACCCACAGGAGTAGCGGCTTCAGCCTGTTTTCACTTCTGCTCACCGGGCTCGCCCTCATGGGCATCTCCAGCGGCCAAAGCAATCTCTACCCTCCACATCTGCTTGTTTGCTTTTACCTCCCTCTCCTGGATTTATGGGGAGACGGAAAACAGCATGCCAGGAGAGCAGCTTGCGGGTGGGGGTGGGGACAGCGGGCAAGAGAGGCTGAATAATGTGCCTCTCAACTCATCGTAAAAGCCTGCCCCCACAATTTCCTCTCCATTCTTCATCTAGACTGGGGTCTTCAGCTTCCTGCCCTCATTTTAGCTGGGAGCTGGTGACAACCACATCAACACGAGTGGTTTTGTGAAAGTGGCATCTGAATGAAAGGGAGCCTCTCGGGCACTCCAGCAGCTGGTGAGTTACTTCCTCCTGCCTTCTGATTCCTTAGGCTTCTGTCTGGTGGTGGCCCTGGGCTGCTTCTCCTTTAGGGCTGGGTGAGCTCCAATTCACTGTTGCTTTGGAGTTGTGATATCCTTTTTACCTTTTATTTTTTTAAGGTGCAATATTTAGTTCCTGTATTTCTTTAAGTTCCACAATTGAGTACAAGTAAACATTTACATATGGCAAAAACGTATCCAGTTCTAATCCTTTGGTAGATGTGCGGTTTCACATTGTTTAGAGTCACCCTCTCTGAGGTAGGGCAATGAAACAGGGCTGTACCCAATTTGCTCTTTCCCACCTTCCAGCTGCCCTTCACTCTTACCACCTGCTCGCGGATGGCAGCCACGGCCTTAGCTGTCCGTCCCGTCGGCCGGCAATGGCAGTGCTGATAGCCAGACTGAGCTCACACTGCTGCCCCGAACTTCCAGGAGACTTTAAATCCTTGCTTGGGGCTTTCTGTGGATTTAGACCAAGTGAAAACCTCTGTGTCGTAATCCACCCCACAGGCCTGGTGTTTGAATGCACAGGCAGCAGCCTCCACTCTCCTAGCCGGGTGATGTGACTGACGGCTCCAACTTGTGGTCACAGACTGAGTGGGCAGGGAGGTCATTGGAACAGGGTCCCCCTCGATCCTTTTCTACTACATCCTCACAACAACCCTGTTAGGGGTTGTTTACTGTCTTAGATTAGCTCGCAGTCAAGATTTCAGGAGCTATTCATTGGCAAAAATGACATGAAATACAGACATTAAGTACTTAATAGTTATCTCTTCAAAAGAAATTTAACACCAGTAAAAACTGAAAATAGACTCAAAATAGTTTTCATTTTCGAAATGGTCCTATGGAAACATTTGAAGGTGTGATAAAGAGGATCCTTCTTGATTCACTAAGCAGGCGTTTTGGAATCCAGGAGCCCAAGCCACCTGAGCCAGGAAGCTCTCTCTCCAGCCTGCAGGCCTTGGCTCCCTCTAGCGTCTCTGGCTCAGCCTTGGTTTCAGGCTTAAAATGCCTAGGACTTAAGAACTCTATTTAAATGGGCATGCAAAGCCCAGTGCAACTAACTTCTCTTACTCTTCACCCTCCATGATGACTCTTGCCCACGTGCTTCTTCTCCATGAGCTCGTTTGTTATTTTCTGTCACTTATCAACAACCATTTTCTTATATTCAGTATGTAAGATCATTGTTTCATGTGTGTCGTCTTTCCTCCCCCAAAATCACAATTGTGTCTTTTACTTTGCAATGGGGAAAAAACACAACATCAGGCATGTAATAAGTGTCTAATACTTTAAATTTGGAGTTCAGAATATCAGAGTCATTTGGAAAGCTAACATAGCATCCTCCTTTCACAAAATGGGAACCATATCCAGAGAATTGCTGCTTTATTCATCCCACAAGTGTCTAATGAAATTATCAAGTCAGTGGGCTGGGTGCTGTGGGAGACAGAGACATCCAGAGATGGCTCAGTCCTCACGGACCTTTCAGTGAGGCATGAAAAACCGGACATGCTCCCCAGTCACCAAAGGTGGGAACCCGTAAGAATCGAAAAAATAAGGCTGGGCGATCTCAGGTGAGGAAGATAATGGGTCAGCTGGGAGACTCAGGGTGGTTTTATGGAGCGAGCGGTACTTGAACCCAATCTTGAAGGATTTGATATGGGGCAATAGGAGGAAAGTGTGGTGGTGTGAAAACGTATTTGGGGAAGGAAACGTGAAGGAGAATATTAGAAGCTAAGAGTGGAATGCCTTAGGGTCAAATTATAGCAGACCTTCAATGCCAGCCAAGAAGTTTGCACTCTGACTGGTAAGCAGGAGGCACTATAAAGGAAGAACTTATAAAAATTTCCAGCCTCTTGAACATGTATTGAACTCCTTTTAAAAAAGTGACTTCTCTCTCCTTGGAGGTTTAAGTACCAACTAGATGTGCTTTTCTCCAGCTAGCCACTCGTGATTTATAGAGATTCATAATGGGGACTCATGCATGGACTAGATAACTGCTAAGATTACTTCTGATTGAGATTAGACAATCAGGATTTTGAACCGGAATTTGACCCTATGTCATAGGGAAGACTAGTATTTCTTTTTGTTCTTAGTAGGTGCTAAATTAATGCTCTCTAAATTAATGAAGAACATGAACAGGGTTGTGCTTTAGGAAGAGGAATTTGGCAGCAAGGTTTAAACTAGATTAGCAAAAAGGGAGCGACTGGATACAGGGAGATTGCTTAGGACACTATTATTCCTTTTCAAGGCCTAAACTAGGTTAGTGGAAATGGGAATGGAAAGTAGATTGACGCTGTGGATGTAGAACCAAGATGACTGTTTTGTTGTAATTGTGACCCTCCCCGTGAATGGCCTGAAAATTCCATGAGAGCTGGAAGTGTATTGCATTTGACTTTAGATCCCCACTACCTGGCAATGACTAGCACATACAAGTGCTCAACGTGTACTAAATGAGTACGTGGAGTGAATGTTGACTGGTTTTATAAGCGCGTAGTTGAGATGTTATTTGAGGGCCACTGGATATCCAAGCCACTGGACAAGGAGCAGCCCGGTCCTGGGGCAAAGGAAATACAAGAGATTTCCTTACTTACTATCCAGTCTCTCCAATCCACCCGGGCAGGCCTGCGTCACAGCTTTTCACAGTTAGGTCATGCCCACCCTTCTTCTCCTTGTCTCCTCTCTCTCATTTCACTTCTCATCAGCATTTGACACAGTTGACCATTTCATTCCTTCACTTCACTTCCAAGACATTACTCTCTCGATTTTCTTTTTACCTTACTAATGATTCCTTTCATTCTATTTATTCTGGCTTTATCTCTTATTCACAATATTTAAATCAATGGTTCTCAGCCTTACCTGCACATTAGAATCACCAGGAACTTTTAAATCTCTTGAAACTAAAGCTGTACTCCAGACCAATTAAACCAGAATCTATGAGGGGTGGGCACAAGGTCAATATTTGTTTAAAGCTCTCTTGGCGATTCTAATGTCTAAACCACTGTTGCAAAATGTTAGCGTTCCTCAGAGCTTAGTCCTAAACCCCTCCCCACCTCTGGCTATACCCCTAGTCCCATGGGTTTCAAGAGCATTCTTATGTTGACTTGTAGAAATATACTTCTAGTTCCAATGTCTCCTTTGAACTTGTACATACAATTTCCTATTTAAGGTCTCCATTGGGATAGAGATATCTCACATTTAACAGGTCCAAATAGAACTATTGATTTCTTTCCAGGCCTCCAAATCTATTCTTCCCCAATACTCCCCCATCCCAGTTGATGGCATCATCATTTGTTCAGTTGTGTTGACAAAGACAACTTGGAGTGATCACTGAGTCATCTCTTTTTGTCAGTTCCCACATCTAATTTATCATCAAGTCCTGTTTTATTTCTAAAATACATTCCAGACATTATAATATTTGTCTATGTTTATTTCTCTGCCTCCCGTAATAGAAGGCAGGGACCTTGTCTGTTTTAATATTGGATCTCTGGCACCTGGTAGGTTCCCAATAATTATCTGCTGAATTAATTGTTAAATCCAGAGTTGACATGCAAACTGATAGTGAAGCAGACTGTACTACCACGGAGTCACTGTGAGGTGGATGGCTAATCTCAGCAGAAAGCATGATTAATGAAAGACTCTATTAAAGGTGTTTTAGGAGAGGCTCGGGCTTAGCCTCTGGGCAGCGTGTCTGCCCTAAGCTTCCTGTCTTTCTCTCATCATGGTGTCTGAAACTCTTCCATTGGCAATTCAGATAATTGCCACTTTTGAATTCTCTGCTAAAATTCAAATACCCTCAGCATGTGTCTACTGGCTAATAAAAGATTAGGGAAGAAAGATTTTCTGAGAGGCTAAACCAAGAACAGAGGGGACTATGAACAGAGGGAAGGCAGATGATATACTAAATTTTCTTCACCATAATGTCTTTGCCAGAGCCCTTTGAGGAAATCGGTCCTGTAGAAAGCTAGGTGAGTATAGGCCTTAACAAAAAACAGGTCCTGTGTGGTTCCATTGGGACTAGCAACCTCCTAATGTCTCCCTCCCCTATGTGCCTGCAACTTCACCCCCCAATCCCCATTGTCATTTCCTGTGTATGGGAACTTGGCAATTTGGTAATTTATCTCCAGTGCTGCTCTCCCTCCTGACTGTTTCTTCTATCACAGTAAATCAACCAGCCCGACCTATGTCCAGAGCAAAGTAGTTCTGTAACACGTGGTTCTAAAATACCTAAACCAAGTGATATTTAAGTACTGGTTAAAAACATGTCTTCTCATTATAAGGTAATACTTATATTTTAATAACATGTTAGAAACAAAAAATTCGATTTCCCTAGCGTTCCAGTCTGGGTTTCCTGAGAAGCAAGACTCTGAGACAGGTTAGCGTGTAGTATGCATTAGGAAGCGCCCTTGGGATGGACATTTGTGGAAGAGAAAGAGGCAGAACTGGGCAGAGGGAAAAACTGAGCTCAATTGCAGACTCAGTAAAGGACTCAGTTACCCTCCCCCACAACCCTCACCCCTGGGGGAACTCTTCCAAACAGCTGGGATGACCCTTTAGAGTTGACTTCCCTTGCAGTGAGGTGGCCAGGCATTAACACTCCCACATCAACCAGACATTGGCTTCCTGCTGATCCTGGGGGAGAGAGGGTGCTCTGTAGCCATGGGCAATTTCTGGAGAGGGCTGACAGCTGAGGAGTGTCCCAGCACTCCCAGCACCTAGGAAAATAAGTACTTAGCCCTGAAGATAGATCTGGGCAATGCTGCATGGCATCCATTACACTTAGTGTTTTCATGTTGATGTTGCTTTCTGGTTGCTAACATTATTCTGGGCTTCTATTGCAAGGCAGTTGGATAAATTATGTCCTAAAAGCCTCCCCTGAGTTGGCTTTATGACCACCGAATGTTTTCTTGTTAATGCTGTGCCTCTGAAATACTTCCACTTTCCTGTCAATAATCTGTATTATAATCATGCAGGTAAGAG